TTCTGTGTAAAGGGACAGATTTACGTTGAAACTTACTGGATATGAATTTCTTGGAAGCCTTTAAAGGCGCTAATGATGGTATTTGGGGGATCAAGAGCCAACAACTCTATTTTGCTGCCTTTTGCAGCTTACAGTGTGACCTTCACATAATTACCTCACTGCATCCTCCCAACCAATTCTGAGGTCAGACCTCTAACCCACACTTTATAGTAGACAGATTCCATGCCTTGGAGATGAACCCCTGTTGGCCTTCCTTATTTGAGAAATCTCTGAGAGCAGAGAAACACTACAGTCCCATGAAGTAAAGTGATAGATATGTGCCAGTCCATTCCGTCACACCAGCTGACTCTGGTTAGGTCTGACCAGGCCCCATCTGTTTCTCTCTTCTAATGGTGCAGGAGAACCTAAACATTTACAAGACTTGGAATCCCCAGTTGCAAATATTTTCTGCCTTATCCCCCCATCCTTGACACTTTGATGTTACTGAGTATTTTTGTTGGAAGCTAAAGCCCCCTGTAGAGATGATGAAGGCATGGCAGGTAGTTATAAGGCAAGTCCTGATGATTTGCCTTCTAAACCAGATTAGGAAAGTGGGGTGGGTGGTGGATTGCAGTGAGACTTCCAGCCTGCCTTTCAAATTCTCTCCCAGATACCCCACCAACTGAACAGTCATTGGCTTTATAAACTACTCTTCTACAACTGAAATTCTCTTTCAGTAAAGCCTATCAGTGAGCCACACCTCTCTGTTAACTGCTTTGTGTAATTATAGAGTTGTCCTCAGATAATTAAGAGGGTAGAAGTATAGCTGAAGATGACCCTCCCCCTGCTCGTGTATGGCAATTTGAATTTTAAAAGGAAGATACCTGTTTTAGTTACCTATTGCCATGTAACATATCACCCTAAAACTTAGTGGCATAAAAAAGCAATTGTTTATATCTTGCAATTCTGTGGGTAGGCAATCTGGGTCATTCTTTGGCTAGTCCTTGGTAGGATCACTCCTGTGGTTACAGTCATTCGAGTTCAAAAGGACTAGGGGGTCCTAGATGGCCTTACTCACATATCTGAGAGTGAGCCTGGCTGCTGACCATGTGGTCCTTCTCCACATGGCCTTGGGCATCCTCCAGCAGGCCAGACCCACACAGCAAGTGGTCCCAAAGTTCCAGGAAGCAAGAGTGGGCATGGCAAGGCTTCTTGAGACCTAAGCTCTGGAATTTACACAGTGTCACTTTCTCCACATTGTATTGGTCAAGACAAGTCACAAGGCAGCCAGATTCAAGGGATGGAGAAAAAGACTCATCACAATGCCCAAGCAAGACAGGGGCTAATTGAGAGACATGTCAAGTTGGGGTAAGGGATTTGACCCAGAGAACTGCAGGAGGTCCCCTGGTGCTGGGAACAGAGGTGGGGAACATGGGAAGAGTCAGGAAAACCTTCTGCACAGGGTCTTAGGAATAGCTGGGGTGTGGCTGCAAGTTCACTGGACACCTCACACCTGGAGCATCTATTGACTACTTAACACCAACACAAGGAAAAACAGGTTTTTGTTTAGAAGGCTGTAAAGCTTAGATACTGCCCATTCTAGACCATCCTAGTCTCCCAACTGAAATAAGGATAATGCTGGGATGGTAAAGAGGGAAAAAAAAGAGAGAACCTACTGTAACTAGGTGGGGACGGGGAAGCCAAATTGATGTTATAAATTTCCCCCGGAAAATCCACATATTAACCTGTCCACTCACTGTCCCTTGAGTGTTGAGTGCGTCCACTTTCTTCCAAGTAGACATTCTCAAATCCCACTCCCTGGATAGTTCTAGTGGATCTTATGTCCTTATTTTTAGAGCAATACTGCCAGTGCTTTGGGTCTGCCCTTTAAAATTTTTCTATAAGAATTTATAACTTTGTTCATGCTCTTTTATTTTTAAAGGGCACCTATTCATTGGTGTATCCTCCAAAGCTGATGAGTTTTCTTTGTTAAGAGATGGGTGGGCTTGGGATGCTTTGTCCAGCACAGTTGGGTCACATACTGGCAAAATGGGGCGGGGGTGGGGGGGCGAGGGGGAGGCTACAATATGCACCATTTTTGTGCTTCTATTGTGTGGGTATATGTTTGGTAATAAAACTAAAATTTAATAGTACAGCCATACGTTGTTTTATTGTGCTTCATAGATAATGCGTTTTTTACAAATTGAAGGTTTGTGACAACCCAGTGTTAAGCAAGTCTATTGACGCCATTTTTCCAACAGCATTTTCTCACTTTGTGTCTCTGTGTCACATTTTGGTAATTCTCATAATATTTCAAACTTTTTCATTATTATATTTGTTATGGTGATCTGTGATCAGTGAATAAGACTAGCTGAAAGCTCAGATGATAGTTAGCATTTTTTAGCAACAAACTTTTTTAATTAATTTATGTACATTGCTTTTGAGACATAATGCCAATGCACACTCAACAGACTACACTGTAGTGTAAACATAACTTTGGGATGCATTGAGAAACCAAAAAGTTCCTTTGACTCATTTTATTGCAATATTTGCTTCATAGTCATGGTCTGGATCTGAACCTGCAATATCTCTGAGGTCTGCCTGTGCTTTGCTTCATCCTATGGGGCTTCCTGGTAATAAAAAAAAAAAAAATTACTGTATATATAATAATAAATGCTATGATAGCTACCTAAGTTTATTTTGTATTAAGAGGATCCTGTTTGTAAAGTCTTTAAAATTCTTCAACATCATCTCCTTGATACAGGAGGCCTATGTCCACAGTGTGCATCACTAAATCTCCCATGCCCAGCACAATCTGTACCATAGGATAGGACTCCAGTATGTACTGCACTTTGTAAGTGAAAGACAACACTAATAATGATCATCCTCACCGGAAGAGGTGAGAGAATACCTGGAATCAGAGTCAAACTTGTTACATATAAGGAGTGATGCCTGATTCTTGGACCTGGACACTAATCGGCCTGTCAGAAATGGAGTAAGCACAGAGTATTTGTCCAGCACAGTTGGGTCACATACTGGCAAAATGGGGCGGGGGTGGGGGGGGCGAGGGGGAGGCCACAATATGCACCATTTTTTTGCTTATATTGTGTGGGTATATGTTTGGTAATAAAACTAAAAATTAATAATACAGCCATACGTTGTTTTATTGTGCTTCATAGATAATGCGTCAGAATTTTAAGATTACAAAGAATCTTAGCAGTCAACACATGGCTTTCCCCTTCCATGCAGCATTCCTCTTTAGAGTGTCATTGGAAAGGGTCACTCCCTGAACACTTATGAGAAAGGAAATCCTCTTCTTCTGCCATTGGATCCTTTTTAAAAAATCTACTTTATTCTTATCTTTCAAGTTGTAAAAATATTGAACAGAACTCTGCCTCCTGTAATTTCTATCTCTGGGTGCTTGTTCTGTGTTTGGACAGACCAAACCCACACTCTCTTCCATGTAACGCTCATTCAAATAACTGAATCTCCGCCATTGTTGAATATATGACAAAAATTGGTTGAGTTTCATGATGCAAACCTAAAGGGAAAGTTATCTTGAATAATGAAATTACAATATGTAGAAGGGTTAAGGACTTGTACACCATCTCATGGTTTTGAAGTGTGTAAAGACCTTGAGAGTTGACAGATTAGTCAGGGATTTGTCAAGAGTACTAATTACAAACTTTGAAATCTTGGTCAGTGAAAGTTCATCATAGTGCATCTTGCAAATATGATCAAAGTCTTTTCACTACTGATTTTATGATGCTTAACCACAGTGTGTAAAGAATGAAGGTTTTCATTAGAAATTACTGATGTAATAGAGCACATTTAAAGGAAGATGTGTTGTTAGACTATTAAAATTCATGCTCTTCCCCTACCCTACACCAGCCCCTGTTTTGGGGGCCCCCCATTGTCTCTGAATACCTGAAGTGGCATTTTGGTCTACTTTAAAGGAACTGTGCTCTTTACAGTTTTAGTGTAGCTCAGTAATGACCACCACCGTGAGGGCAGCAAAGGTGGGGCTGTTAAGTGATGTTTTTAAGACCATAAAAATAAACCATGAAAACCTGGGGGCTAACTGTGATTTGGTGAGTGAAAGAAATTTATGGCTGGCTGAAAACTTGAAAAATAAAGTGTGCAGCTGGTTATGGGAAAGGAAAGCAGTCCCTCTGTCTTGTCCTTGTTGAGTTTTAGAAAAATCAATCTTTTTGGTAGCTTTTTTCCCCTGGGAATTAAAAAAAAATGCACTGGCACCTAAACCATGGAAAATGAAATTAAAATACACCCAATGCACCTCCTCCAAAATCACTAGCTTACGTTTCTCCCACCCTTCTGCTGAGATGTCTTATCTGTGCCTTCCAATGGTTATCAAAATACAGGAAGGTATCTGCCAGGTTCCTTGGTGTTCTCTTTAACTGCAGGTTGATTTCCTGTAGCAGCCGAGTGGAAGGTGCACAGAGATGCCAGTGCTTGGTCTCAGTATCCCCAGTCCCACTGTGCGTGCATTTCAGGAACCATGGCCTGCTGCCAGAGGTGGGAAGGTGCTAGTCTGGGGAGAACTGGGGCATGTCTCCAGTGGTTCACCTGTCTGATGCTCTTCCTGTTCAGTTACCTCTGCGAGCCAGAGGGTGGCACCCCAGGCACTCCAGAGGTGAAGAGGAGGAAAATGATGGGGACTGGAGAGGGGAGGGCAGGGCTGGCAAGGGGAATGTTGATAAATTCTCACAGTCCTCGGTCTTGAGATTTCCATCTAATTTGGAGCCAGACCCAACGCTGTTTGGAAGAAATGGGCTTCTGCCAGACAGGTGTCACAGGTTTAGGCATTTCTAAGATGATAAGGTATGTGGAGGTTATTCAAGACCAACGGCCTCCACCCACCTGGGTCCCAGGGAAATCCAAAGGGAAACTAGTTTCCCCAGTGGCTACCTGTGGGGTACTTGGGAGTTGGCGCAAAGCCAATGGCGCCCCACGCTGTAAGTGAGCCAGCATCTGACCTGTCACTTTGTGTTGTTTTGCAGTTGCTGGATTTGTGCGACACGGTGAAGGATGATGCCCTGAGGGTGATCTCTGCCTTTAACATTCCACACACCTCCCTCCACGCACCAATCGCAGGAATCACCAATGCGCAGGCCGCCTGGGCCTTCTACCCAGCACCGCTGCAACCCGAGCCCCGAGAAGGGGCGCGCTTTCAGCCGCCCAAGCTGGAAGCCAAGTTATAGCGGGCGTGGTGCGAAGGGTGGTGGCTCGCTCGCAGCTGCCACGACACTAGCTTCTCTGACGCCTGGAACTGGGGCCAAGGCCGGCCTGGCATGCGCTGGGCCTCGGCCCTCGGGGATTTGGGTCGCAGAGCAGGCAGGGTTCTCACCGAGGCTGGCGAGATGCGCGATGGGCTGTTGGGAAAGGGAGCCAGGCGGCAGCCCGGAACACAGGGCTTTATTATGTAACCCCGCCGGCCGGCAGCAACCTCTCCCAGCTTCCGCGCTGGATCTCCCTAGACACTGGACTCCCCTGCGAACGCGCCCCACACCCGGGTGCCACCAAAGGTCTCCAGAGGTCAGTGATGACTCAGATTTACAGTGATTTTGGAAAACGCATTGGCGCTGCGTGAAAAAAAAAAAAATCAAAGCATAAAAATCAAACACTCGCGGGCAAAGTTTCAGTTCAGCAAGCGATGCTTTTCCAGTGAATCAGAACCCCTTGGGGGTGTTAGAGGAAACGCACAGACTGGAAAAGGGGAGTGTGCGCCTGGTGTTTTGCTCTCGGCAGAGCACGAACTCCGGCTTGTCCTCCCAGGCAGGCGGCTTCCGGACCGTAAGACAAGGTGCGGAAAATACTTTTACTATATGAAATTGTAATCTGTTCTTTAGAGGAGCATAGATAACAAAGTTTAATAAAGACATTGATTGACGGGAAGGCGCTCGGACTCCTTGCCGAGGATGGGAAGGCGGGCTAGGGCAGCACACCGCAGTAAGTTGATTTCGGAACTCCGAGAGACCACGCAGGCAACGCCTGTGGTCCCAGGCAAGGGCCGTAGAGTTCCCATCCCATTTCTCAGATCCCGATTGCCCCACTTCATTTTTGCACCTTTCTCTCAGCCCCAGCCATCCTCCTTACTCCCTCTCCACATCTCGTGGCAGAGGCAGGAGTGAGCATAGCTCTGCTCGCGTCCGCGAGGGCGACATCCAGGACCGGAGCAGAGACCTAACGCCCAACTGCCCTTTCCACGCTGTCCCTTCTCTGGGCTGTGGCCCGGTATCCAGAGGACCTCCGGACCCTGCGGGAGAGGGCGGGCAGGGCTAAGGGTCACCCGCCGCGGAGAGCTCTGCGAAAGCTCCCCAGCACAGCCTGGGTTGCATGACTCCGAGCCGACCTCCTCCTTGTGCCCCCAAATAAGAGTGCTTAACCGGTTGCTTTCCCTGATGCCTTTGTTTTTTAAAGTGTTCACAGGGTCGCTAAAGCAGACGACGCGGGGGCGGCGGAGCTGCACAAGACCAGATGACAACCACTGGGGTTTTCTTCTGCGTGGTTCTTTTCCTGTCCCTGTCTGCATCGCCCAACCCCACGGAGAGCTCGGAGCACTCGGGCGGGTTTGGGGCTCCCAGCCGGCGCCGTTCTGTCCACCCCCCCCCCCCCCGGGTGCTAGGCCGGGCGGCTAAGGCTTGGAGTTCACCGGAGCCCACCTAAGGTCGAGGGCAACCGCTCCGAGACACCGTCAGGGTAGACATCCAGCCTCTGCGTCCACTTCGCCGCGTCCATGCCCTTGTCCTTTCCCTCCTGCAACGAAATCCCCGGGCAGAACCCGGCGTGCGTCCTTGAGTCGCCCCAGGAACCCCTGGCCTCCTACACCTCGCTCAGGACTCGCCAGAGGATGCGCTGAGGAATTGTTTAACCAGGGGCTGTGCTGTCTTCCCGACGTTCCATACCTGCTTATGCAGCATAAAACACTGATCGAGGTGGCCAACAGCGGGACAACGCCTCGCTGATTTGCTCCTCTGCAACTGAGGACCCTTCCTTCTTGGTTCCTGGGAGGGAGAGACTTTAGGGGATCCTTAACTTGGGTTTCTCTATTCCATCTAACCAGCTCTCCCCCGTGACAGGATGTTCCATCTCCCGACCGACCTTGCCCCCACTCCCGGCTGCGGCTGTCTCCTAGCCTGGGGAGCGCAGGAGGGGGTAAGGGTGGGGACTTAGGACCCACATTAGAACACATGAGGGTGCGGACCCAGAGGAGTACCAGTCCCCGGAGCAGGAGTGGGAGTGGGGCCGCGGGCACCAAGGAGAAAGGGGGTGGGGGCGCGCAGGGAGAAGGGGTGGGGGGTACTTCGGTCCCCACACCACTCCCCTGCGCGCGCGCCTTCATTGGCCTCAGCGCGCCTCGCGGGCGGTTCTCTGAAAGCCTAACCAATCTCTAGGACCCCGACCCAGCGGATATTTTCTCTCCCACCCGAAGGCCGAGATTCCTCTGGGTCTTTTTTTTTTTTCTTTTTAAAAGGATTTTTTTTTTTTTTCGAGTTCTTTTTTCATTTCCCTATTTTACCTGCTCCGCGCGGTCCCTTCCTCCTTCGCACCCGGGCTGCGGAACAGACGCCTCCGGGGATCCACTTCTTGCCTTTTTCTCCACTCTCCCCACTAGGGCTCTGCCTCCTACCGGAGGCTCGGCGTGGCAGAAAAGCTAGGTGCCCCTGCCAGGTGGCATGAGGAGGGCGCCTAAGACTACCGCGTGAGGCGAGGGCGAGGAAGAGGATGAGCAGCCCTGCACATCGGGGTCTCACCCAGTACCCCAGACTCTGGGAGAGAGGAGAGCTCCGACATTCGCTGCCCAACCTTGGACCCGGGCGTTCTTGAGGATCAACGCAGTCCCCACGCCTGCCCCAGAGCGGCTGAGAAATTCCCGAAGCCGATCAAGGGCTCAGGGGCGCCTCCTCAGGCTTTCCGCGGGCGGCGGCCGCTCGGCCTGGTTCAGTGTGACCGGAGCGCCCCCTCTGTTCCAAGCGCACGCAGTGGCCCCCCGCTGGATGGGGGAGAGGCAAGGGTACACTTTGAGGCGGGGGAGAGGAGTGGGTGCGCACAAGCCACCAGCAGCCCTAGTCACTCCAGTAAACACGCTCAGCTGGGGCCGGGCCGGCAGCGCTCGCGGGGGAACCCGGCTGGGCCACCCCCGCCTTTACCTGTTCGAGCCTGAAAGCGCCAGCGGCTGAGGCTACGGCGCGGCAGGGCGGGGCGTGCTTGTCCGCGCGCCGGGGCGGGACTTAGAGGGGGCGGAGCTCGCGGTGATTGGGTGACGGCACTGGGCCGCCAGTCTGAGTTGAGCTGCAGGGCTGTGCAGGTTTCACTTCGCTCGGCGCAGCCTCCAGGTTTTGGTCTTGTGAAACCGCTCCGTCTTGCGTCGCCGCCGCCACCACTGCCACCGGATTCTCACAGTCACCCTGCGCGCCCCAGCCCAACTGCGGCCAGCATCGCCGCGGGCTGCTCGCTTCACCCCGCTCCCGCCGCCACCCCCTCGGCGCCCTTTCCCTGGCCCTCGTCCCCCCAATGTCTGACTCTGACTCTCGGACTGAGAAACGCAAGGTAAATACCTCCGAATCCCCGGGAGCGGGCCGGGTGCCGACGGAAGACAAGCGCCGGAGCCAGCTCGGCTCCACCTCCTGTTCCCTTCCCGAGCACGTGCAGGCAAGAGATGCACGTACCCGTCCCACTTGTCGCTGGGCGGGAGGCAGCGCTCAGGCGGGTCGGGATCCCTCCCCCGCGCAAGTCCAGTTTGGTGAGGGGTCGTCCGTGCACAGGCTAACGGCACTTGGCCGACGTGCGGCTCGGCCCGGGATTCCGCGCGAAGGTGGAGAAGCTTCTCAGGGTCGGCTGGGAAAGGCAACGCGTGCTCCGCGCTGTCCCGGGAGCTGCGGCCCGGCTCCACGATACTGGGCTGCGCGGCCGGCCCGCAAGTCTCGCCGCCCTGTCCCGGAGATCCCCAAGTAGCGGCCGCGCGGTACTAGCTAGTCTGGCGGCTTGGCTTTTCTCGGGTGCTCGGGCCCGTTGCGGAACTGCGGTGGTTATTTGACGAGACTCGTTTTCCTTGTACCCATTCAGACCGAGGTTTAGGGCAGCTGCTGCGTTCGCTCTCTCGGGCTGCGGGTGCGCTGCAGACGATACCAGCCGCACGATCCATAGACAGCGAGAGTCCGAGGGCCTTCTCCGACTGCCGGGGACACGCGGTGGACGAGCCTCGGGAAGCAGAACATGCTCCATCCGTGGGGCCGGGCTGTCGTAGAGACTCGGGCACCCCGACGCCCTCTCAGTGCTGGCGGGCGGTGCGGTGCCCTCGGGGGCCTGTTACTCGGTGTTCGTGCTAGTAATGGAAGACCCGTCGGCCGCGGGGGACAGGGGTGTGGATGTGTTGGTTGTTTGCCGTGGTCACGGGTGCGTGCAGTTGTGCGTGCCCGTGGCCAGTGGTGGCCGCTTAGATTTGGAGCGTGCCCGCTGCGTACAGGGAGAAAAAAGGAGCAATCTGTGGAGGAAGGTGGGTGCTGCAGCTAAGGGAAGGGACGGCCTTTGGGGTCTTCAGCCCACCCGGCCTGGGCGGGGGTCGGCGGCCAGCAGCAAGGACCGGGGTCGGAGGACGGCCCTGCGGGTGCAGAGAGAGCGAGACTCCTGCTTTGTCTCCAGGTGACCGGCCACTTGGGGCGGTGGGAGCCGCCGAGGCTCGCGCGGCGTCCGGCGGGCACAGAGGCAGGGCGGGCTGGGGGAGCCGGGGCAGCTCGGGTCCGCGAGACTCCCGCCACGGTCGCGGCCGGGGCCGCCTTCGGAGGCGAGTTTGTCAACAATCGCCTCGCCTTTGGCGGCCTGACCCGTAGGCGCCGCCCCCGCCGGCGGCGGCTATTGGCTGTGGCGCGGAGCGACCGCGCGAGGGCCAATTGGGAGCGCGGGCACCCGGCGCCAGCGGCGCGGGGAGGTCGGCGGTGCCGGCGGCGGCGGCGGGCGCAGTGCGCGAGGGGAGGAGCGGGAGGAGGCGGAGGATGTTCCCGGCGGCGGCGGCCGGGGCAGCGCGGGCCAGAGGCGCGGCGCGCGGAGCCCTCGGCTGCCCGGCGGAGCGCGGCGGCGGCGGGCGGGCGGCCGGAGGCCGGCTCTGCGCTGCCCCCGGGGCTCTGAACGCGAGTCCTGGGCTTTGTCTCCCGCGCTTCCTTGGTGCTGACGGTCAGGGGGCTCCGTGTCGGCGAAGGACGCGGGCGGGACGCCGCGGGGCCCGGGCCGGGACGCGACGATCGGAAGGGAAGGGGCGGACGTGAGTTTCGGCCTGATTGCCTTCACAGGGGAGGGTCAGTGGGGTGAAGGAGCCGCGCGCCCCGGTGTCGCCTAGCGTGTGGAGTTACTTGGGGACTTTGCAGGGGGCGCCCGGGGACGGCTTTGGGGAGACCCCCCATTTGGAGGTGTGCACCTCACAGTGTGGGTGCATTCCGAAGTTCTGTCGGGTTCGGTGCGGCGCGCTGCCTGCCCCCTGCGGGAGGAGGGGCGCCCGGGCTGGGAGCGGGAGGGACCGCGGGCGGGGAGCGCCCGAGCCCGGCCGAGCCGCGCTCCGAGTTACAAACTCTATTGTGACGCACTTACTACGACTGACGGCCCTTGCCAAACCTTCCCCAGACTTGCTGCCCTCAGCACTTTCGGCAGAACAATGGGGCCGGAGTGGGGAACGCGGCCAGCCGCCTGCAATCGCTGCATCTGCGCCCGCTCCTGTGCTCCAGCGCAGGATCTGATCCCGGGAAATCAGAGCCCGCTGGGAGTTTCCGACTTCTTCAAGTCGGCTCTGAGCAAAGAGCACATGGGAATAGACTTCACACAAGATGCTTCTCCTAAAAACTGTGTGTGTGTGTGTGTGTGTGTGTGTTACAGCACCGGTCTCACATTGACGTTGTGATTGTGTTTTGTTTGGTGGCAGGAAGTTTAGTCCCTCCCCCCCTCCACGCAAAGATAGAGGTACCTTTGTTATTTGAGGTGTGTTTTTATTCTTATTCGAGATCGTCGGAGAAGTATATGAACTAACGACTTAATGTTAAAGTAGTTGGTGTTGAAGAAATCAGCGAAAGTTGGCTAAATGTAGTTATTTGTTGTAATTGTTACTTTGCTGAAGATAATCTTAGTTTTTATTTTGCTTGCAGAAAAAAAGACCAAATGGCAAAGCAACCTTCAGATGTAAGTTCTGAGTGTGACAGAGAAGGTGGACAATTGCAGCCTGCTGAGAGGCCTCCTCAGCTCAGGCCTGGGGCCCCTACCTCTCTACAGACAGAGCAGCAAGGTAATCCTGAAGGCGAAGGGGACCGCTGCCCCCAAGGCAGCCCTCAGGGCCCGCTGGCCCCACCAGCCAGCCCCGGCCCTTTTGCTACCAGATCCCCGCTTTTCATCTTTGTGAGAAGATCCTCCCTGCTGTCTCGATCCTCCAGTGGGTATTTCTCTTTTGACACAGACAGGAGCCCGGCACCCATGAGTTGTGACAAATCAACACAAACCCCAAGTCCTCCTTGCCAGGCCTTCAACCATTACCTCAGTGCAATGGGTAAGCAATGCCTGGGTAAGAGGTAGTTAATGTGTGGTTGTTTGCATATCTGCTTAAAGGCTGTGTGTAGCATTTAAACTAAACTCCCTTTTAGAATCCTTTTACTGATGTAGTCCATATTTTCATGGGAATGGAGGATGTGTCAAGTAAGACATCAAACCAACAGTATTTTTTTTTTTTTTTACATTACCAAGTTTAGTGGCAGCAATAAAATGTATGTAGTAAAGGCCTGTTGAGCAGTGAAGCTGTAATCCTTGCTGCCTGCCTTCATTAAAGTGTGTGTGTTGTTCTAACCACTAAGACTTACTTATCAACGATACTGTGCTTGAAGGGGACTCCGTCAAATACAGCAAATAGCTTAAAAACATAACCAGATGTATGAAGAAAGATGAGACAAGTCAATTGTTTTCAAAAATGATATTTTTAGAAAGTGATCTGGTTCATCAAGGCAGTACCAATAGAGAACCAGAAAAATGGGTTGTTTTCTACTCAGATTCCTCTTTGGGCTGATTTTTTGGTTGCTCAGAGGTTTTGGATATGGTACTAATAAGATTAGATTGTGGGTATCTATTTCAGGGATTAAAGACCGTTTTTGGGTCTGAACCAGGAAAATCTGGCAGGACAGTGAGGGAGCTGACCTGGTGGGGACTGTGGCAGGTTAGGGAGCATTTGCACTTTCTGCATTAGGACTGCGCCCCCATCTGTGGCTGTGTGGTCTCAGAGTGGTAGGTTTTCCTATGGTACAGTGCAAGATAACCCAAGAGTGCAGATTTTGGTGCCAAAGATCCCGGCATCAAAGATGTTTTGACACTGACAATTAACTTAGAACTTTGAAAGTACTGTGCAAGCCATATAAAAACATCTGCTTGCTAGATTTGACCCTTGAGCCCCCAGCATGTGACTTTGAGCATGTTCAGTTCTGGTGACCTTGGTAAGGGAATACATCTGTGTTGTTGTGTTGATTCAGATCACTCTTCCCCCCAATGGAAAATATCTTGGTCGGGATTCACCAGAATCTTACCATTTGGACAGATAAGCCCTTCCTTCCTGCATTAATGAGATACAAATAAGTTGGCAGCATTATTCCTTAAGGATCCAGTATAGATTCCCTTACAGTGTAGATCAGACTTTTGCCAAAGGCTGACTAAAACGGAGTCCTCAGACTAGAAACTTACTTGACTGTTGGAACACAATGACAAATCTTGTATTTGCAGGTATTGTGGGGCTCTGTCTCAACCTTCGAAGAGGTGTGGGTCTGTCCCCATGTTACAGAGTCAGAACCTCAGAGGATTGGTCACTTGTCAGGTTGGGCAAACCTGGGAAATAGCAAGCAGGGATGGCAGAAACACCAGTAGCTATGCATGTTGGCGAGGTGTCTTCTGCTAAAAACTGAGATAGACTTTATTGGGATCCCTCCTTAGGGAAAGGAACTCGAAGTTTTATTGCTACTATTACTTTAGCTATTACTACCCTCCTGAATTCATTTAAACCTTAGAAGTTGGTGCTTGCAAAGGTTTTTCTGCCCATTGTAAGTACTCTGAGTATATGAACCTATAGCATTCTTGCTTACTCAGTGAAGGAATAGGGCTTTATGGTGTTTATTTTTAAAAACCTATGTATTTTAAGGATCCTTGGGAAGCCTTATAGTTTTTCCCTGCAGACCTATGAATCCACCTCTACAGATGGTTGCTTAATGCACAGAAACAGTTTCTCTTTTCTTGTTACTCAGGAATAGTGGGTGACCTAGTTTGTGTGTGTGTGTGTTTTGGTATGTATGGTGACATACTGTTTAGTGAGCTTATTATAAGGTAAGCACCGTTACTCAAGATGACAGATGTAACGCTTTAGAGATCACAATCTAAATTATTAAGCAAAGTTATGTTTATACCTGTGAAGTCAAGTCATGGATCCCGAGGTGTAACTTTATAGTAGATTGGCATGATAACTGAGACTTTAATGCATAGGATTAAATGATAAGGTGTAAGGAGTTTTCTGAAGTTAGTGACCAAGGTAAGTTTTCAGTATTAAGTTCTGGGGATATTTATTTATTGGGGTGGGGGATGAATGGGGGCCTGGAGAAGACTTAGTCAGATACGAGTTTTATTAAACTGTAGAATAAAATTGACAGCCTTTGCAGTTTGTAACTTTTTTTCCTGGTTATTCTTCTAATAGTTCCATGCCTAAAGACCACTGAAATATGCTGAGTTGATAAATTTTGCTTCTCTTCTCTTTCTGGTCTTGTTTAATGTTCCTTACTCAACCATATCCATTAAGATCTTCAGTGAGACTTTTGATAATTTATTGCAAAATACATTTTTCACCAAGAAGTCTTTATGATTGGTTTTAGCCAGGGCAACACAAATGGGAAGTTATAAAGAGGTGCTCCTTCGCCTGGGGCTTTTGCTCCTTCACTCACCAAATAGTTTCTGCTCAGTGAGTTGGGATAGAAAGCAGTGGATCTTGCAGTTCTGTTCTTGCATCTTTGTTCTAACGAGAAAGTAAATTCTTGTTTGGGATGTACATTAAGTAGATGTTTATATTAGAAATGCCTTCATATTTTCCTCCATATCCCTTATTTTTCTGGATATGTTCAAACAATATTATATTTTTCCATGAGAAACAGCGGTTTTGTTTTTTGTTTTCGTTTTTTTCACTTTTACGAACCAAATTTTAGTCTCCTTATACCCTGGGTGGATTAACTTGGCCTTTGCTCTCTTAGTGAATAACCGATTATTTTAGTCAAAATCATTGACAGGTGTAGGTTTCTGAGTGCCTTTTCTGGTGAGTGTGCTTATGCCATATGTGTTTTTAATACAAATTGTACTGAATTCTGCACAAATTCATACTTTGAAGGTGTAGTTATTGCAATTGGAAATAAGCGTTGAGAAAGGTCAGAATGTGCTGGTGAATATTGTGAACAGGGTGAAAGCTAGTTAATTAACAACTTCCACGTGTCAAATGACTTAAACTTTATATTTGTTCCCTGGAACATAAGAGTTCATAGGTAGGAGTTGTGTTGTTCTTTGTATTCCTCCACATCTTGGCATACTCCTCTTGGAGCTGGTAATTATCTGACCCACCTTTTAGATTGTGAGCCCTCTGAGGAGAGGCACGATATCTTAGACCCACCTAATCAGGGTCTGACAAAGAGGAGATGCTCAGGAGATGTTCAGAGTTTCAAGTCTTGCCCATAAATCTTTCATAGAGCCAACCGAGGACAAATCAGATTTCAAAAAAAGTCTGGTAGCAAGAAAAAGACCCTCTGTGCTACCCCACCCCCAAAATATTTTTAGTTTTTTGGATCTAACTATAAGGTTTGTCATATGGGGGTGACAGGTGACGTCTAGCTCAGCACGAGCCCAGTAGGGATGCCACAGGTAAGTGCTGAGCACTGAAGATGCAACTAGTCCAAATGGAGATGGGCTTGTTAGTGTCCGCTCACACGGAAGTTTGAAGACTTAGTACATAAAAAAGAATGTAAAATCTCTGTCGTTTTCATATTAATGATATGTGGAGATATTTTGAATATATTGGGTTAAATAAAAAACATTTTTAATTGGAGTAAAAAAAAATTCCTAAAATTTAACCATCTTAACCATTTCTAATTGTACGCTTCAGTAGTGTTAAGCATATTCACAGAGTTGTGCACCCCACTCCCAGAACTTTCCATCTTACAGAACTGAAACACTATACCCATTAAATGTCAGCTCCCCATTTCCCCTCCTCCCAGCTCCCGGCAACCTTCATTTTATCTGTGTCTATGATTTTGACAGTTTTAGATATCTCGTGTAAGTGGAATTAGACAGTATTTATCTTTCCGTGGCTATTTTTTTTAATTAGCGTAATGTCAGGGTTCATCCTTATCATTATTAGCCTTTCCTTCCTTTTTAGAGCTGAATAATATTCCACTGTATTTATGTAACACACTTTTTTAATTGATTCATCTGTCAGTGGACACTTGGGTTCTTCCATCTCTTGGCTATGAGTGTGCAAACATCTCATAGATTATACTTTCATTTCTTTCAGTTATGTGCAAACATTTCCTCAAAATCACACTTTCATTATTTTTTCGTTTATTTCTTTTGAATATATATGTAGCCAGGGAATCACTGGATCATAGGGTAGTTCTGTTTTTAATTTTCCGAGGAAGCTCCATACTATTTTCCCTAGTGGTTGCACCAATTTATATTCCCACCAACAGTGTTCAAGGATTCCAATTTCTCCACATCCTCACCAACATTTTCTTCTCTTTTGGTAGTAACCATCGTGTGAACTGATCTCTCACTGTAGTTTTGATTTTTGTTTCCCTGATAATGAGTGACGTTGAGTATCTTTTTATATGCTTGTTGGCTATTAAATAAAACATTTTTTATATTCATTTTACCTATTTTTTTTCCTTTTTTATTTTTTTTATTTTTTTAAAGATTTTATTTATTTATTTGACAGAGAGATAGCGAGAGCAGGAACACAAGCACAGGGAGTGGGAGAGGGAGAAGCAGGCTTCCCGCCAAGCAGGGAGCCCAGCGTGGGGCTCGATCCCAGGACCCCGGGATTATGACCTGAGCCAAAGGCAGACACTTAATGACAGCCACCCAGGCGCCCCTTTACTTTTTTTAAAGTGTTCCTTCTAGAAAAAGGTCAGATTAGATCTGTGGCTGACATTGTTTTTATATGGATGGGCTGCTTGCAGATGGGGGAGCTAGAACGTACAGTGGCGTTTTAGCGAGCCAGACCTTATTCTTCCCACTCAAAGTTCCATTTCCATGGAACTTCCTCCTTTGATTGCTTTTGTTGACTTTACAGTGAAGATAATTAACCTAATCTTGTAAGTATCTTAAATGAGCTTTGTTGATAGCTAACGTTCTTTAGGCAAATATAAACATCAGTTTTGGTTTACTTTTTTAAAACTCCATGGTACATGTGGGCTTTGAAAAAGTTGAAGGTCGGGTGGTTTGGTTCTTCAGGCATCTCAAGACTGCCTGGGAACCTGATGGTAGTCT